CCACCTGATGAAAAGTGGTAACCGTCGCCTATAGACATTAGCAGTACCATGGACATAACAGAGTATACTGTTTCGCCCATGATACTATATTAATTGCAATACAATATAACTCATACTTAGTTATTATTTAATCAGGTCGATTTTAAACTAGTTTTGTCAATATTGAAGTAGTTTTCAACCGACTTTAAAAAAAGTGAGGTTCTTAAATGGATTGTATTTTTTTATGTTTGTTGTCTCACAACTCCATCAGTTAGAAACCGAAATGAAGAATTCTTTTTTTATCTGAAAGGATGTACTTACTTGCTTACTTATAGTAAAAGCATCAAAATTTTTATGAAATTTCTATTGTACCCGTAGAAATTTCATTAAAATTAATTCAGTAGTTCAGTCACAATTGATTCGGTTTTTTTGTGTAATAAAATCTTATTTAAATGACTACAAAATGGTGGGTAGGTATTTGTTATTTATTTATCTATGTTTTTATTGTTTGTATTCTCGCCAATTCTGATCCGAATTTTGATTATTGTTTTTATAATCCTAACAAGATTTATAAAGAAGGATCTGAGCTTGCCTATATTATTTGCTAAATATGTGTATTAAAAATAAATAAATTATTCAGAATTGATAAATAAACAGTATGGAATACGATATTGCTGGTTATCCCTATTTTAGTTAGATATACATACATACCCTAAATATGTGTATTGTAACAGCCAAGCATTCGTAACATAGGAATAGATATTTGATATTATATCAATATCGTAAATTCAGTATAGTGAATATTATAGTACAGTGCATTATGGTCGTATACGTGATCGCCCAAATTTGAATATCGTATGAAATGTATGCGTAAACAGAATACAAAAAGAAAAGAAAATAAAAAAACACATTTTACAAATATTAGTGTATTTGTTTTTGCTATTACACACAGGCATACACACACACGCGCGCGCGTACACACACACGCGCGCACACACACACACGCGCGCTCACACACAAACACGCACACACACACACACGCGCACACACACACTACACACGCACACACTACACACGAATAATACATACAAATATGACAGAGGTAATCAAATGTTCAAAAAAGCGAATGTCACTAACATCGTAAAGCTTAAACCAATCTTCAAAAAGTAAGAGTACACATTCTTTATTGCACATGTAAATTACATAGATAATAAATTTATAAATATTGTAAGCAAGGGTGGACTTATCTCTGTAAGAGATCTCTTCCAGCCAATCCAATACAGTGAGAAAGCATGTGAGCAAGTGGGCAGCTAAAATGTACGAATGCTGTACGAACGACATCGGTACTAATCTGAATAGGTAATTAAGTTGGTGGCTGCTTAAGTCTATGGCAGTATTTCAGGTTGAAAAGTATCATATCAGCTGTTATCTGTCCACTGTTCAGCAGTGCCTAGTCTTCATCATATGCCATAAGGAATGGTTCTAAGCCACCTGCATCCATTGATTTAGTGCAATGCATTTGAAGTCGTCACTCCATCTAGTGGGGGATCATCCTAAACTACATTTGCGCATATAGGGTCGCCACTCAAGAACCTTTCTTACCCATCGGTTGTTGGTTCTTCAGGCAATGTGACCAGCCCATTGCCATTTCAGCTTGCTTATCCTGGGCTGGGCTGTTTCGAACTATATCATAATAACATTTGCTAACATTTTCAATTTAAACAGCTTTTATGTAAACAATGTCGGACTAGAGCTGACAAAAGCGGATATTCCAGAGAATTTTTGTTTCAAATATTCTGAACATTTAAATTATAAAACGTCGCGCTGTTTGCGCTAAATCAAAGTCAGCGACTGGAGTGCATACCACCACAGTTGCATAATTTTATATAGCAGCGGAAGCCGGAACAAAAATGGACCATCTGAATATTTTATCAAATGCAACCTTCGTTTTTGGTGTAAGCGTACCTGCCTCGACGGACTGGAAATAAATAGCCGAATTATTCGCGAGCGAATGTCATTTTCACAACTCTAAAATGGTAGGAATGTTTTGTTTTACTTACCCATTTGATACATTGTTTGTATGAATAATATAATGTTTGTTACTTTAAAAATAAAAACGTAAAATTTTAGTTAAACACGATGCCTTTTAAATCGACTATTCTGTTACTTTTTGGTTGTGTAACACGTGGCCCACTAAACAAGAAGCAGGCAAACATATTAATTAATACATTTTTGTTGCTACATGTTGGGGAATAAACATTACATTGGGCGTCGTTATATTGTCCTGTCTCATACATATGGAATCGAAAACGTATCTACCGATGAATTCATTGGTACTTGTCTAGCAGGATGAATTGCATTTTAATGACCAGATTTATCGTCAATATTTTACTGAACTATGTAATATTGCAGAAGTCCATATTAATGGTTATTTGAACATAATTATTTTATTTTATTTCGCTACCATTAATATGTGTGCGACTGTCAGCACTCAATGATTGACCACTAGATAGTGGGACTTCTGATAGTGATAGTGATACTAATGGTAGCGGAATTAAACAAAGTAATTATATTCAAATAATCAGTTTTATTGTAGTACTAAAATTATTTACTAAATAAAATAAATTGTACTTTAATCTGGTACTAAAATTTTTGCGTCTACAATGATAGAGTATAAATTTGCTTTTGTTATTTTCGAATAATTCTTTGCCATCAAAATGAAAATTTTCAGTGATGGTGTAATCAAAATCTTATTGAATAATTAACATTTTTATAATCTATTAGAAAACTAATAAAATACTCAATAAAAATTATTGAAAATGTTCAATATATTTTTTTTAATTGACAACTGTGATATTGTTTCACTCCAGTGAAATGCGATATGAACACTATTTTTATTATCCGTACTTACCTCATTAAAAGCAAGGGGAGAAAGGATTGTTAATCATGGGGAGGTTAGTCTCTATACCAAGTCGATCTCCACGCGTTTCCTCCTGGAAACTATCGTGACTAACTTATCGTTGAATTCGTCACGATGGGCTAACTGACCTGCTTTTTATCCTCGCCAATCATCCCTCATTGGTGCCCCGCCAGTATATACCGGCGCAGGCGGGGTTTCCATTCCATTATCATCTATTAAAATATGAATGGCACTTTAAATTCTAATAATACTTCAATAGGCTCCCACTTCTTTTATGTGTGATCCAAACTGAACTTTATAAGCGATCACATTATTTTTCCATTCATTGATTTCAAAAGGTGCGCATGTCAAAAGTTTCAGTATAATATAACTTTCAATCTGATGGAAGCCCTAATGGATTTTCTGAGTAAAAAAAAAACGGCAAATTTAATATTGTATGCCGAGTAAGTGTTACCCATACGATATAGTATAGAAATAACAATAATTGTATACACATTTCATTATTTTGTATAAGCAAAATCTTTGTACAGATTTTTCTTGCATGAAATTTAGAAATATGGAACTTATAAATGACTAAAATACTAATGTAATAAAAAAATAAATTAATGAGTAGGGATAATATTTATATTATTATATGTATCACATCTCCCATATTTAGAACTAACAAAATTTTTCATCGTGCCTCCCACCAAATTGTTTATAATTACTCCTCTCCATCCAAAGGTTGCCTGGAAGAGATCGCTCTTAGCGATAAGGTCGCCCATTGTTTTCTCATTGTGATTATTTCTTGTAATTATTTATATTTATAATAAGTTTACTATTGTAATCTTTCGGAGGAAACAATAAAGAGTATCTATCTATCTATCTAAAATACTGTATTTTGAAATATTCCATTTCCAATTATTAAATATATAGTCTTAACTCGAAACATAATACGGGAGTCCGAAATATATATAATTGGCTGGAACATAAGCAGTCTTCTTTGTCCAAATGTATGCCAAATGTCGTGGCAATAAAGCACCAAAGAGATAACAAACAAAAAAATAAATTTACTATTCCATAATATTATTAAGGATGATAACAGGTTTAGTTACTTATGGGAGAAAAAGATTAGACAAACTATATAAACGCAATTAGGCTTAGGGGTAGACAATCCTCTCTACTATCGTGCCTGAATGGCGGCCAATAGAGAAAATGGCGGAATATCGTGAGACTCTACTACATAATGACCACGACCGCTGACAAGAGCATATTGAATGGAAAAAGAAATAAATGGAATACAGCCATTTTATCATGAATATAAAAATCTAGAAAAAGGTTAGATGCGTAATCATAAAGCTGCTAGGTTTAGGTGCTTTCCACGAATATTCTAGAATGGCAGTTACTAGAGAAAAATGACGAGATATCATGAGACTTTACTACATAATGAGCACGATTACTAGACAAGAGCGAATGAAAGAAGTTACCCTGCATACTCAGATAAAGAGGATTACGACTCACAACACAAGACAAGTGTGAATTTTCTTTTTATTTATTTAATTTTGAGTAGGATTTTATTTAGAATCTTACTACTTTTAGTACTCTGTTTCCATATTCGCAAATTATAACAGAGAAATTGTATTGCAGAGTAGGGATTATTAATAATAATTGCTAGCAATATACTCTATTAGGTTACCTCCACTTACTGGAAATAATTTATTTAATTCTTTACTGTACACAATAGTTATAAGAATATGACAGAGGTAATCAAAAGTACAAAAACGAAATTAACTCTAATAGAGTTTTCTTCCAGCAACATCCAAAGTGGAATCATCGCGGTTAATTTTTTATGAATTTGTCACGATAGCCTCCTTTCATTCTCACTTATCATTCCTAACTGGAGCTCCACATCCGTGTACCGATAGCATAGGCGGGATCACTTCATTATCATCCCTAAATAAAAACCTGAAAAACATCATTATCCCCAATCATCATTCACTAGTATACCGTCAACGTTTACTGATAGCATAGGTGGAGTTACTAATTCATTTTTATTCCTTAAAAAAAACTACAGTACTATTTCGTTTTGAGGAAAAATTAAATAAAACATATATTGATTCATTATTCTTTATTTTTTTTTGTTTTGTAAACAGTCTTATAATCGAGCGATGAGTTTACACAATTAGATGTAAACAGTTCAATTTTGGCGGTACTAAGCGAATCTTTGGATACACGATCTAATTACTGAGTATAGTCGTCGTTGTGTAATGTGTTTTTTTTTTACAATAAATATTAGTCCTTACAAATTAATATTTACAAAAATTGAAACATGTAATTGAATTACGTTTCACCTTTAAAGCATAAAATGTTAATTTAACAGTTTATTTACAATAACTATGTTAACATATATAGATTTATATAACAGAATATAATCAACAACGTCCATTCTAAATGTATTTTCTTACAAGTATTCCCCTTTGCCGCTTCTGTGAGACCTGCGGGAGGAGAAATCGCTTTAATAGAATTCCGAACTTACAGATTCTATTTTCTATTATTCTTTGAATTTTAAACGAGGTACAAGAGGGAAAATACGCTTATCTCACAAGGAATGCCTATCGAGAGTGTCTATCTTTACATATAGTCCATTTAAATGTAATTTAATGAAAATGTAAACTATTACATGATCCGAATATGTGATAATCTATTGATAAATTTCAATGTTTTTTTTTTTGTATCACAAAAGTGGCAAATAAGCATACAACCCATCTAATGGTAAACAATTTGTTGTTAATCTCGTTTAAAGAGTAATTTTTATTATAATTTTAATAACAATTGATTATTTTTTCATTAATTTCTATTGAAACAGGCTCTTGTTTCAATAACTTTTATAATTCTATAATCTTGAATTTGCTTCCTTAATTTTATGGTGATATATTTTCTTCATTTTCTGCATCGTCGCCTACCATTAAACATCACATATATTCTCTTCCTTGCTTCCCTTTTTTTATTTCTTTCCTCTTATTTTTCACTGTCCTTGTCAATTTATCTGCCATCTTTGTTATTTTATAGCTAATGACCTTCTTAAATGACTTTAATATTTTACAGTTTAATTTAAAATAGAATAAATAATAAAAAGAATATTCAATGATAATGTTTCTCTAATTTTCTTATTTTGATATTTATAATTGAATATAAATAAAATATAAATTATCAGAATTGGAATTTATGATTATTAAGACATAAATTTAAAGTTTGTTAATAATGAAAATAAAAAAAGGAATTCGGAGAACTTTATTATTATCCCATAACTTTACATGTAATGTAAAATACATAAATAAATTATTGGGTGTATTAAGGTATCTTCAGGATCGACGATGTTGTCTTATATTATGTTATAATGACAAATCCGTAATGTTACAGGCATCCATAGACTACAGTGACTGATTAGCATCAGACGGGCTGTATGCTTGTTTCTACCTTCGCGATACAAAGAAATTACTCTTTTTATAATTAGCATTATCATATATTCACTATATAACTGTACAATATTTATAATTAGAAATTAATTGTTAATTACCACAGGGAGATTTTGTACAAAAATCTTTTACTTGGCTACATCTGTCCCATTCGTTGTTTGTTCCCATTGTTTGCATGCCTGTGTTTTGGTTTGAAGGGTGGAATATGGCAGAGAATTTACATGGTATAGAGGAATAATACTTGAGTCCTCAGGAATAGCAACGCATGGGGGGTATCATGGGCGAAACAGTATACTCTGTTATGTCCATGGTACTGCTCATATCTATAGGCGGTGGTTACCACTTTCCATCAGGTGGGTCGTCAGCTTGTTTGACATTCTAAGTTGCTTAAAAAAAAATTGATTTATTAACAAATTACATTAATTTATCTGACTATAAAGTTTAGAAACCGCAGTACTTTTTAATTCTCCTCAAAATTTCAAAATTTAATACACTTCAGCTTTGTTTCTGAGAGAGAAAGAAAAGGTATCCAGTGGGATTTAATTTTCATTTGCTAAAATAAATGTAAGTATTCGAAGTGAAAACTTTTTATTCTTACCTCCAGCGACACTGATTTGATTGCTGAAGTCCTCTGTGTGAGAATTGAGTTTTATTTCTGTAAACGTTAGAAGAAAATTAGAATTGAAGAAACAAATTTCACAAATGGAAAATTAATAAGTTTCAAGTGCACTTGTAACAAGAATATTCAGACATTTTGAAAACTGTGATAAGTATTTTAATTTTTAAATTAAACGAAATGTGATTTCGGTTAAATATAAATAAACAAATTAAATGTGAAGAATGTTGAAATAAGAAATCTTGGTAAACAATTTTGTTTTTATGATTTAATAGATATAACACAGAATTGGCCACCTTCTTTCTTTCCTGTGAGTGATGTAAGAGGTGATTAAGGAATTGAGACCCTTCTTTTTTGAAGACAATTGAAAATAACAAAAAAAAAAAGATGACAAATATTTTCCAAAATTAAATTTTCACAAATCATGTTGAGCTTATTTTGGCCTTCATTACCATAAATCTGTTATATCTACTAGAGATGCGTAATATCTGATTCTATGTATTAAGTTCTTCTGGACATTGATAACCACCCATTGCGATATCGCCAATACCAGTCGGATATCTATATTCATTACGAACGGGTTCTTTTTTCGATATTATATAGCGAATAACTGATAGATAATGTACTCGTATTTGTTATTGAGTCAATGTATAATGTATAGATACTCTAACTACAATATATAGATATTGCTATATATTAGCTACCCTTAATATTTACAATTGCAAAAAAATTAATAACTTACCATACAGTCTAAGCGTACCCTCACTCTTCCCCAGAGAGTTGGTACTGACACAATTATATGTACCAATGTCGTTTTTGGAGAACTGTCTAATGGTGAGCCACATGGATACTTTGTATGATGATTTCTCTTCTCTTATTATGTATTTAGGCCTAAAACAAAGAAAATACATGATTATTAATTTAATTCTACAAGTACAGATATCCACAATTACGTTTACTGAATATTAAAGCGGCCATTTTGTAAACAATTTTAGTGTTTCTTTATTTTATTAAAAGTGTAATAAATAATAAATAAATATATATGTTAGAAGTGCCATGTGGTCTCGGCATAGAATGAGTCACCCCTTTCTATCTCATAGGTGTCGTTAGAGGTTACTAAGTTTAATGGTCGAAAGATGGGCATTAGAGCCCCTCCTAAAACCTTAACAAAACTGAACAGTTATTGCCAAACTGCCTGATAAGCGTGACAACAATTGGCAAGAGAGGTACCCTAATGGAGGAGGTATATGTCCAACAGTAACAGGGCAGTAAGTGTCCGAAATAATAATAATATACATTGAAAGATCCTAAAATAATATTTAATAACGATTCTGTTAAGCAATTTACTTTTATTCTGCACTGCACGCACTAAAACAAACTTAATGTTTGTTTTAAAAGCCCACTGGGTAATGAGTTCCTTAGAGGTCCTTCTAAATAACAATAGATTTATTAATTTAGCTCTAAAAATATTGTATTTAGATGTTGAAGTTACTCTACGTTTACTATTTATTTATTACATAGTTATAACATGTTTATACTTAACACAGATACAACTTAAACCACTGTTATATAGTTCTACCTTGTATCTGAAGAATCATACATTTTATTTTCTTTTTTTATGCAACTTAGAATGGCAAACAAGCTGAAGAAAAGTGGTAACCGTCGCCTATAGACATGAGCAGTACCATAACAGAATATACTGTTTCGTCCATAATACACCCCATTCCTGATGACTCAGGCGTATGTATGTATGTATCAAACTTTAAAATCATTGAACTAAATTTCTATTCTAGGTAGTATATTCATTTATTTTAACATCCACTGTATAAGTAGGTAGATATTATATTTATTTATAGTATATGTATTTATGTAATATTTTATTATGTATCTTAATATTTTATTTAACTGTATATTTGTTTATGTATACTAAATATTAATAGTTGTAGCACTTCAGCTGCCCGCTAGCAACATGTTTTCTAACTGCATTGGGTTGACTGGAAGAGATCTCTGTCAGAGATAAGTCCACCTTTGCTCACAACATTTATAAATGCATTAACATTGTAATTTACAAGTGCAATAAAGAATATATATCAATTGCCTAAATACACTTGACTATAATCTAATTTAACTGTTGCATGGTATGGTAGATTTAGCCGTGTGGTCCCGGCATAGAATAGGACACTCCTTCCTTTTTTGGGGGAGTCGACTAAGGGAGGGCGAAGAATGGGCAGCAGCGTCCCTCTTTAAACATCTTCTAAGGCTAACTGTGATTGCCAATCGATTGTCAACCGCCTGTCAAGCGTGGCAGCTACTGGTAAAACTCCACAAGGAGAAGCTTATGTTCAGCAGTGGACAGTTAAAGACTGATAAGTTGATGACATTGATGTTAAATTATATTTCATAGACTTTAGTGGTATATATATATATATATATATATATATATATATATATATATATATATACCAGAGGGGGACTTTGTACAAAAGTCGATTGCTTGGGTACCTCTGTCCCATTCGTGTTTCTACCGTGAAGCAGTTGTGTTTGCATGGCTGTGTTTCGGTTTGAAGGGTGGGATATGGCGTGAATTTACTGGGTACAGAGGAATAATACCTGAGTCCTCAGGAATGGCAACGCATGGGGGGGTATCATGGGCGAAACAGTATACTCTGTTATGTCCATGCTACTGCTCATGTCTATAGGCGACGGTTATCACTTTCCATCAGGTGGACCGTCAGCTTGTTTGCCATTCTAAGTTGTATATATATATATATATATATATATATATATATATATATATATATATATATATATATATTACTATAGTGATATATATTTTTAATTTAAATTACGACATCTTAATTATGCATAAAATAATTTCAAAAAATATCAAAGAATTTAATTTAGTATTGTTATTACAAGGTTATTCTATTTCTGTATTGAAATAATGCTACATTAATTACGTTCTTCGAAGGTCACAGTAAAAACGGCTGCTACATTTCCTATATTGACATTTTATTTAACTTTTTTATTATATTATTTAACTATTATAAGGGAACAAAGAAAGTGCTTCATAAATGTTAACTAGTTACAGCAAATCCTATTAATATTTAAAAGCAAAAGTTTGTATGGATGGATATATGGATATTTGTGACTCTTTTATGCAAATATTGTATTAATAAATGAATTTGAACGAAATTTGATATATGGATAGATTATATCCTAATATAGTACACAGGAGATTGCTTAGCGATAAGGCCACCTTTTGTATCACTTCTCATTAATATTTACCGTATTTGTTATTTCTCTTTTTACTTGGTGCAATAAAGTGTAAATAAATAAATAAATAAGATACTCATGTTTTGTCTGCGCGCATAAAGCATACCTATACGTGTGCATGTGCGCGTAACCATATTGCGGCATATAAAAATTGCGATTAAACGACAGGGGTTGATCGTAAAAGCGTGAAAATTTGAATTTTTATGTATTTTTCAATGCTAAATCATAATAAAATAAAAATAAAATAAATTGTTCAAAAAATAAAAAATAAATATTTGGGGGTGGGTCACCCCTATCACTGAGGGGTGTGAAAAATAGATGTTGGCCGATTCTCGGACCTACCCAATATGCACACAAAATTTCATAAAAATCGGTAAAGCCATTTCGGAAGAGTTTGGTAACAAACACCGTGACACGAGAATTTTATATATTAGATACAATAGAATAAAGTATTATTTTCAATAGTCAAGTATTTAATTTTATAAGGAATCTCTTGTCTGCCATGTGACCTAGTTTTGTATCGTACAATCTCGTGCGAAGTTGCAGAAACCCAATCTACAAGAGCATAACAGTGCGGTAAATATATCTAGTGTAGTTAGATGGAAGAAAACAAACGAACATTAAGTCTCAGTTATTTCATATAAGAAGTATCAGAAAAGGCAAAGTTAGTACGAATCATTAGGAAACGTTACCCACATCTTTTACGCTACATTATGTTTCCTATATTAATTTTAGCCGGTCCCGTTGTAAGTAACAAACGATAAGCGATCATAATTCTAATAAATCGATATACTGTGTGTTTATTAATATAATAGAGGCTTAAAAAATATATAATTTTCTTACAAAAAATTTTATATAACTAAAAAAAATTGAAAAAAGAACAACCTGTATCTGTTACCAGCGGTATTGCATAAAATAGGTATTTACCTTTTTTTTTTTTTTTTTATAAAACTTAGAATGGCAAACAAGCTGACGGCCCACCTGATGGAAAGTGGTAACCGTCGCCTATAGACATGAGCAGTACCATGGACATAACAGAGTATACTGTTTCGCCCATGATACCCCCCATGCGTTGCCATTCCTGAGGACTCAGGTGTTATTCCTCTGTACCCAGTAAATTCACGCCATATCCCACCCTTCAAACCGAAACACAGCCATGCAAACACAACTGCTTCACGGTTGAAACACGAATGGGACAGAGGTACCCAAGCAATCGACTTTTGTACAAAGTCTCCCTCTGGTAAATTATTATTACCTAACCTATTACCTACACAGTAAAATACATGTACATATTATCTTGTACTATGTAGTGCCGTTGACACAGATACAGGTTGTTCTTTTTTCGAGAATTTTAATTTATATTTTCAGTTTTTGGTTACATATTTTTTTTTATCTGAAAGAAACTGAAACTAGTTTATAGGAATGGGTTACATTAATTAATACATTGTATTTTCTTATTAACTCGATATGGAATAGAATATGGGGTAAAGCCGTAAAATTAATCATTCATAAAATTAAAAATATAAATAAATTTATAAGACCACCGTGCTGGTAAAACAGTTTAAGTTATCGCCTGTAAGATATACAATGGTCACGAATTCTATTCTCAAACAACATGGGCCGGAGCACATAAATACTAGCTTGAACCTTTCTACTTGTCGCAACGACGAGCTATGAGAATTGTCGATGATCCCAGGCTCACAAGCGGTATAGCGAACCCTTGAGTCTTAGAAAAGGTTTTGCACGGTTTTTGGCGGTAGAACACGCAGAGTGAGTCTGCGTGTTCTACCGCCTGTACAATGTATTGTGCTCAGAGGAATTGTTCAATATGATGCCCACAGCCACTTTCTACCATCGTACGGCTCGCCATCGACAGGGAGTTCATCCTCATGTCCTACAGCCTCAATGATCGCGTACTGCGCGGTTACAGAGATGTTTCCTCCCACGAACACTCAGGTTGTGGAATGAGCTCCCTGCCGAGGTTTTCCCAATAGACTACAGCACGGGGTTCTTCAAAAGGGGGGTAAAGAGGTTTCTTCAGGGTCGGCAACGCACGCGTAATACCTCTGGTATTTCAGGTGTTTATAGGCTACGGTAACCACTTACCATTAGGTGGACCGTATGCTTGTTTGCCACCTCAGTGGTATAATATATATATATATATATATATATATATATATATATATATATATATATATATATATATATATATATATATATATATATATATATATATATATATATATATATATATATATATATATGCATATTATGATTATGTATTATACGTGCATTTCTTATGTAATATATATAATTATTTCAATGTGTTACTATAATTATGTCACATATTTTTCACCACATCTGCCCTTCATACGCTTTCTGTTTTTACCTAATAGTTAGCTGGTAGAGAATACCATATGGTATTAAACTCGCCACTTGTACAAAGTATTATTTTGCAATAGAGAATAAATAAATAATATTGTACACGAAAATGAGATTAATAGATAGAATATTTATTTAATTAAATAAAAACAGAACTGATTTCTGTGAATGAACCATCGCATACGAAACCACATTTTAGAGGAGTTTCCTCCCGCGAACATACATGCTGTGAAATGTGCTTCCTGTCGGGTTTTCCTTAGAGACTGCAGCTTATGTTTGTTTCTCTAAAAGGACGTAATAACATTTCTTGAGGGTTGACGATGCACACGTGATAAATCTGATGGTGCAGACGTCCATAAGCTATGGTGACTGTTTACTATTAAAACTATAAGTATGTTTTTATGTCACTGCCAGTACTACAAAGCGGTGGATTGTGATGAGGTAATAAATGATGAAAACATGGATTTTAGCAGAGAAATAAAATATATTGTACAGCGACTAAACATAAAAGACAAAAGTCAAAAGATACGAAGTAGAAATTATGTTTTAAAATATTCTAAAAGTAAATCTATATAAAAAAGTATAAGGTAAATAAAATTTAAGAAGTTTGAATCAGCCGGTCGCAAAATAATCACTTTATGATAATTAAATCGTGTTTAGAAAGAAAAAAGAAACAATTAGTGGCAAAATCTGTTATTTTTGTTTAAAAACTAAAAATAATATAATTGATAAAATATCTACAGGACCAATCTATAAGTATATCCTTTTAGATAAAAAAAAATTGTCCGAAACAGGGGGTCTACCATGAAATGAAATTCCGAACTTTCGGAATCAATTTCGTGTTTTTGTTCATACCGAAATCGACCCAGTAAATGGAGCTTAACATTTCGTTTGTCATAAATCCTACCATAAAAGTCCAAAGGAATGATACTTTAGCATTTTTAAACGGTATCTATCATGTAATTTTAACATGAAATTTGTGTTTCGTTCGGACCCGAAATTTCGGAAAACATTTCATGGTAGGCCTTCAGTTTACAACTACAGTTCTAAACTGAAGGCCTACCATGCACTAACGGACCATGAGGTAACAAATACAAAAAATATTAAACCGAATTGAAAACCCTTCTCCTTTTTGAAGTCTGTTGACAAAATAATCAGAAAAGAACAGAAAATTCGAGATCACTTCAATTACGAAATTCCTGTAACATATTCATCTAAAAGAACATATATATATATATATATATATATATATATATATATATATATATATATATATATATATATATATATATATATATATATATATATATATATATATATATATATAAATAAATTCATTTCGAAATTTCTCATACAATATATAAAATAAATATACAACGAAGTCTTATGAAAATTCCTTTAAGAAATGAAGAAATTTCTTTTAGAGAAACATAATAACGTACAGTGCTGAATTCCGTTCTCACTTCAATCATTTTAGAAGTGCCCCCCCCCCCTCCCCCCTTTATAATTCAGTACGATATTACACATTTATAACATTTGATATTGTTTGGGGAGTGCTGTGGATGCTCAACATTCTTGCTCTTGGTATACAGTAGGTATTCGAGAATTCAATGAAGTGCAGCTTCTTCTATCATTATTCTGTGATAGAAGAATATATTTACTGATAGAACTCTATTTGCTTTCAAATCCTATTCCAATAATAATCGTACTTGCATGATTGTGTTACTGTTTGGAGGATATCCCACTTACTGCCCAGTTTCGAATGTTTTAATTGCCCAGTTGTGGAAAACAACCAAGGAGCTCAGATATTATGTATTTATTATCAGAGGGAGACTTTGTACAAAAGTCGATTTCTTGGGTACCTCTGTCCCATTCGTGTTTCTACCGTGAAGCAGTTATGTTTGCATGGCTGTGTTTCGGTTTGAAGGGTGGGATATGGCGTGAATTTACAGGGTACAGAGGAATAACGTCCGAGTCCTCAGAAATAGCAACGCATGGGGGTATCATGGGCGAAACAGTATACTCTGTTATGTCCATGGTACTGCTCATGTCTATAGGCGACGGTTACCACTTTCCATCAGGTAGGCTGTTAGCTTGTTTGCCATTCTAAGTTGTATAAAAAAAATGTAAGCTAACTTTGTAAAACTAAAAAAAATGCGAATGGAAACAATGATCATCACAAACTTCATGTTGAGGGAAACTACAATCAATCACAATATTATTGAACAGACCAGTTCTTACAAGAAGCAACCGTTTACGAGTATGACGAATGAACCAGTCATTATTGTGTTCAACCGTATTATAGGGAGCCTAATGGGTGGGAGTGGTGGGGCCACGTTGCCCACCGGTGTGAACATTATTGTGAATATGATTTACTTCAAGACTCCCGTCTACGTCAAAAACATCAATAACAAATCGAATGTGACAATCTGTATATCTGCTCATTAGAAGATATGATATCACTACATAGTATAAAACAAAGTCGTTTCCCGTCTGTCTGTCCCTATGTATGATTAGATCTCTAAAACTACGCAACGAATTTTGATGCGGTTTTTTTAAGAGATAGAGTAATTCAAGAGGAAGTTTATATGTATAAAACATGCATAATATAGTAGAGAAACACTAAAAATTTTATCGTATTTATAAAATAAACGTTATGATAAAATAAAAAAAAATATATATTCGAAATTGTATTCTGTAGTATATTTAGTATCAGCATTGCACCTGTGCGAAGTCGGGGCGGGTCGCTAGTCATAAATAATAATAATAAAAATTTTTAAAATAATAGTAAAATTTATTTCCTTAAACAAAGGTACAATATAAATATGACTTGACACTAGGCAAAGCCTGTCTACCTCGTGGAAGTCAAATATACAAGATGTATATATACAATAAATAAATAAATAATATTCTTACCAGCTATCAGTCCAGATTGAATAGGCATAGAAATGAATTGGCCGCTCAATTACAGGGATCGGGAAGCATTAGTTTCTCTCAATTAAAAAGACACTGCATCCAAGGACTGGTAGGAAGATTTACAGAGATTGAGAGCCGGTTAATAGATTGGCCACATCATATATTAACAAGATTTAAACCTGACATCCAAACAGCAGATTCGATTATTGTTCTATAAGGAACAGATTGCCAATTAGCAGACTAGAAAAAGAAAAAAAAATCTTACCCATCTAGTAACATTTCCCCTCGATTCTTGATCCAGTAGTTAATGGTGTTAGGGTAAGCCTCCACGTAGCATTTTAACTTCACGTCCGTACCGAGAGGAGCTCCTAGCAACTGATTTGGCACTTTCACTGTAGGAGCGACTGTAGGGAGAATAACAGATACAATTAGTGTTGTCACAGATAATATAATATTATTTTTTATACAACTTATATACATAAACAAACTGACGGTCCACCTGATGTAAAGTGGTAACCATCGCCTATATACATGAGCAGTACCATGGACATAACAAAGTATACTGTTTCGACCATGATACCCCCCATGCGTTGCCATTCCTGAGGACTCAGGTGTTATTCCTCTGTACCCTGTAAATTCACACCATATCCCACCCTTCACACCGAAACACAGCCATACAAACACAACTGCTTCACGGTAGAAACACGAATGGGACAGAGGTACCCAAGCAGTCGACTTTTGTACAATGTCTCCCTCTGGTTTATTTAAACAAACAAATATATCTAGTAGGTACATAAAAATACAGATGAATTGACAAACTTCTCCTTTCGGGGGTCGCTTAAAAAGTGTATTACATGCTTCTACACTCGCGTCGGATGCATCGTAGTTTCGTCCAACTAGAAACTCATTTCTTTAAAGAAACTTCAAAAGTTTACACTTAGTACAAAGTAGTTTGAAAAATGACCACAGCTCTCTCTGTGAAAAGATAGTGTTGAGTAACTTTTAAATCCATGAACTCAGATTGAATATAGGTCAGGGAATAATATTAATTTATAAAGAAGAAGAATCACAGTCAACAAAAGAAAGATTGAAATTGAAAGAAAGAAATTGTTCTTCAGCAATTTAATCAATTCTAAATCCTTATTCCTACTAATATTGTAAATGTAAAAATTTAGTTTGCATGTATGTTTGTTTGTTAACTTTTGGCACTTTAATGGCTTAAACGATCACTATAAAATTTGGTATACACATACATATATGGGAAGGGCATAGGCTACTTTTTATTCCAGTCATTGAATATATCCTGATCACGTAGACAAAGTCGCAGGTAAAAACTAGTATATAAAATCATCCTAATATAATAAAATTGTAAATGAACGACATCTGTACATGGGAGATATTTAAAAAATAATGAGTGAAGTCTCAATAAGACCATTAGATATCAAAATAATTATTGTTAGAAATTTTTTTATGTCTGTAAATTTGTTTCGGCATCACAAAAAAAACTACTGCAATTTCCCTGAAGGTATAACTTAAAGTCTGATGTATGTTTCATCTTGATATCTAAAAGTGATTTTTTTATGCGACTTAGAATGGCAAGTAAGATGTCGGCCTACCTGATGGAAAGTGGAAACCGTCGCCTATAGACATGAGCAGTACCATGAACATAACAGAGTATACTGTTTCGCCCATGATATCCTCTATACGTTGCCATTCCAGTCTATCTAGTCCAGTCCATTGCGGTCTATATTATTCGTTACTTTTTTTGGTTTCTAAATCTACACGTAAGATGTCGCGAGCAAAAACTAGTCTAAACTAATATTATTAAAAGAAGAAGAATGTATTGTTTCTTCAATGGATAATTAAAAAAATACTGAACCGATTCTAAAACTTCTTACATTTATAGAAATCTACATTATCAGTGAGTAACATAGTCATATGGAATATCTTACTTAAAAAAAACTGTGCAGACCCGGGGCGGGTCGCTAGTTTAATATAATATTCTATTTATTATGTTTGACAGATACTTCCATGGACCGCCTGTTCTATTCTCTGTGTTCAACGGTACGGTTCAATGGCAGAGAATGCCATCAGGCATTAAGTCCGCCCTTTATAAGATTCCCTTAGTGTACAAAAGAATAAATAAACGAAAATGAATAAGACCAACAAACTGTTTTATTTAAACGAATCGGTGCCTACTTGAAATTTTAGCGCAATTCCAAAAAGTAAGTTTTCCCTGGCGTCAAGAAATTGATTTGACAAAGACTTTTTCTAGAAATCTTATTCATAAAAAGAAACTTTTTTTCAAAGATAATTTGCCTAAAGTTTAGTCATTGAATTTTTCATTCTCTCAAATTGTATAATGAGACTGATGAGTTATAATTCTATGAAATGGAATAATTTGGACATAAAATTTTATTATGAGGTTATGAGATAACGAATAATCAATATAATTTTTGCTAATATTATAGATGTTACAGTAAGTTTACTTGTTTATAACATTTTAGCACACATACACGCACGCACGTACGCACGTACGTACGCACGCACGCATGCACGCACGCACGCACGCACGCATATAAAACACGCACACACGCACTCTCTTTGACTATACGTGGTCGCAACTGGAGAATCTTGGTATAATAATATAATTAATGATTAAAAAAGTTAATGATTAAAATTAATATAATTAAAAAAAGGTTCACGACTACATTCCTTTACGGGACAGACATTTTGAATGTAACATTTGACGTCATATTTGCTTGAAAATGAAAATAAGTTATACCTATCAATAAATAATAGTGAACAAAACCAACTAATTCACTGGTAATCTAAAACTTTGCGGAACTGGGTCAACATCTACGCCATTGTCTCGAGATGAAGCGAGTCATTCCGATGAGATAACTTAATGTACTTTTGAATTTTCCAGTCGTTCGTGGAAAGCTGCTAAGCTCTTAGAATAATAAAATAATCTGAAAGAGCCACAAGCATAGCGTAGCAATAATAAGGGAGTACTTACACGGATACGCGGTATGTGATAAGTATATAAAAAAAAAATAGAAAAAAGACTATGTATTTATTTATCTTTGCGATAAAGTAGTGTTCAGTAAAATTAAAGAATACGAAGTCTATTATATAATACCATCTGTTAATTATCTATTGCTGAACATAGGATTTACTCTATTGGGAGATCTGCTATTAGTTGCCATGCTTGGCAGGCGGATTGACAACCGCAGTTAACCCTTGGCATTTTTTTATACAACTTAGAATGGCAAACAAGCTGACGGCCCACCTGATGGAAAGTGGTAACCGTTGCCTATAGACATGAGCAGTACCATGGACATAACAGAGTGTACTGTTTCGCCCAAGATACCCCCCATGCGTTGCCATTGCTGAGGACTCGGGTGTTATTCCTCAGTACCCTGTAAATTCACGCTATATCCCACCCTTCAAACTGAAACACAGCCATGCAAACACAACTGCTTCATGGTAGAAACACGAATGGGACAGAGGTACCCAAGCAATCGACTTTTGTACAAAGTTTTAAGAGTCCGTCCATCCCTCGACCATTAACTTCATTTAGTCGCCTCTTACGGTACAAAATCGAAATCACTGTCAACTATATCTCAAATATTATGTCAGAAGTTACCTAGGTATATAAGTGGCCTGTGTTTCTTTAAAACAATACCGTTTATTTATTTCGCGCGCATTTGTGTATAGACTCCTTAAGCGTTCCTCTTTGTATGCATTTCACGTGATTGTGAAGCGCTTGTTAGCTATAAATGGAAAGAGTAAAAACTAGTGGAAACGCCAATAAAAGGAAAATCAGGACGTTCTCTCAAATGGTTATTGTATGGGAAGAACATTGGAACGAGAGATAAAATGTTTGAAGAACTCAGCAAAAATATTAAAAAATATTATAGTACTGAATGAGTTGTGAAAATGGTTTATCATACTATATCAGCCGTTAACTAAACTGATTAACATAGGCCTTACCTTATTGGAGGTTTTACCAGTAGTTGTCATGCTTTAAATGTGGTTGGTGATCACATTTAAGCTTTGGTGGAAATGGTTTGATGTAGGACAAATTGTTGGTTATATTTAAATTTTCAAAATAGGTATAAGAGGAACATACTGTTTACTATATAACTGGATAATGAAATAAATTTAATAAACTAAGTTTTTCTTTTCTGACAATTATTTCAATTTCATCCAAAAAGCCTTTTTCAGACAAACATATTAAATACCTATAAATTATATATTGTGGTTAGAAATGAGCATAAGTTTTTAAGGTACTATTGTTGCTAAAGAAATATAGTTCTTTTATCTTTTAGAAGATTTTTCTTAAGACTAGATTAAACATAGATAATTTAAAAAGCATACGAGTATTTATTTAGACTATAGTAATCTTATATTATTTTAAGCGACTTCTAAAACAAGATGGTTTCTAGATTTGTCTGATTTTTATTCGGTAAATACTAGTATATTGCGCAATTGCTGCTGTCCATCGGAAGGATAGCCTCGCTCTTCCTTATTCGCCTCTTACCCATCCACGGAAAAGGAAGGGGTAGCTCATTATATGCCGAGACAAACACGGCGGAAGAATAATTATACTTACAGTTTACTAGAAGAATGATCCGCTTGCTGACTGCTGGCGGCACATCGTTGGACGCGATGCAGAGGAAGGCGCCCATCTGCCGTCGGTCCACGCGCCACAGCGGGAGCGAGCTGCCCACGTAACTCTCCACTATATAAAGACAATAAATATTAGAATATATAAGTAAGTACAAGTAACTAAACGATGTTGGTAGATGGGAGATATTTAAGAAGAATAGATATTAAGCGGTCTTAAAGCAATAGAATCAGTATCTTTTGTTTATTTTGAATCTGGTGAAAATTTGTCACAAAATTTACGCATATGAAGTGGCGAACAAAAGTTAGTTGATATTATTAAGAAGTAGAAGAGGCATAATCAAGGAAGACGAATCTGAAATTCTGTTTTTACTCTTTTCGTTTCTAACAATGTACATACAAACACAGTGGCGTTTATAATTAATAACAAACGTGTTTGCATGGCTGTATTTCGGTTTGAAGGGATATGGCAGTGAATTTACCCTATTAATTCCTCTGTACCCTACAGAGAAATAACACCCGAGTCTTCAGGAATGACAACGTATGGGAGTATCATGGGCGAAAGAGCATTATGTCTATGGTACTGTTCTTGTCTATGAGAGACGACTGCCGCTTTCCATCAGGTGAGTTGTCAGCTGGTTTATCTACCGTTCTAAGTTACATTAACAAAATTGTTACAAGTCTTGTTCAAGTATAATGTACGTAATAGCCGTGTAGGTCCCGGCATAGAATAGGCCATCCCTTCCTTTCCCATTGGTGTCGTAAGAGACGACTAAAGGAACTTAATAGTCGAGGGATGGGCAGCAGCCTCCCTCTTAAAACATCACCAAAAGCCAAACTATGGTTGCCAACTAGCCTGCCAAGAGTGGCACCGACAAAACTCCCTTTATGGGATTGTGTGGACGTGTGTGTGTGCAGTGGACAGTTAACGTCTCATATAACGACATAACGTATGTAATAAATAAAACGATGCACTTGTTTTTGTCTATTGGCGGTTGGTCTCAAAATTAGATAAGAAACTACTCCATACATATGTAAATGCAATGTACTTTCTATGAAATGAAATGAAATTTATTGCGATGAATGTGGTAAGTTTAGGTAATATTATACATTTTGTGTAACCTTAACATTCAGCCAGCTTGGCATGCAACATTTTATATGTATTATTAACAATCAAGTATTAATTAGAAGTCATATTACTAAAGCCACATTGAAGTTCAAGTTGTTATTGTAAAATTATACATGCATGTCATTAATTAATAAATTAATGCATGTCTAATTAAATAATTAGTTAATAAATGTTTTAGTTTTTGAATATTCGATTAGAAACAATGAAAGATTAAATTGTCTTTAATTGAAAGATGAATACGATGCCATGCTTGGATAGGCAAAAGCGTTTAAACGCTTTTAAAACTGAAACAATTTTTTACGATCAACGTAAAAGATAGATCTGTTCCTTAGGGACGTCTATTATTTCCTTATCATTCGTCTATTATATCAGACATTAATAAATATAGATATATTAATAATCACAGTGCGTGACGATTGTCATTTATATTATTTCAAGTAGATTAAACAAATCCTACCCATTATTTTATAATCTTCTATTATCATACAGTTATGAATGAATCATGCTCATATTTTATTTACTTTCATATTTTTTTTGTTACAATATTTATGATCATGTCTTAATAATTATTGTTCGTTGATATTTATTATTTTCATAATTGAATTTATAAATTATTTTACGACGCGGCAGTAAATTTCTTAGATTCTAAAAAGAATTAGAAAAATTATTTCAGAATTGGTAGTAGGTATAGTAAGAAAAATGAAAGTTACTTTTAAAAGAACTCACCTTTTTATAAAAATTCTTTTTTTTAATAAACATGATGGTTGCAGGATTTTTTAATCAGATTTTTTTTTTACAACACAGGGGGCAAACGAGCATGCGGTTTACCTGATGGTAAGTGACTACCGCCGCCCATCGTCACCCACAACACTTACGGCATTGCAGGTGTGCTGCCGGCCTTTTAAAAAGGAATATGCTCTTTTCTTGAAGGTTATGTTGTCGTATCGGTTCGGAAATACTGCTGCTGGAAGTTGATTCCAAAGAGTGGTTGTGCGTGGGAGAAAGTGCCTTGAAAAACGCACGGTGGAGGACCGCCACTCGTCCAGATGGTTGGGATGAAATTTTAGTTTATGGCGGGTTGTACGATGGTGAAAATCTGTAGCAGGTATCAATCCGAACAATTCTTCAGAGCACTCCCCATGATAAATGATGTTTAATATATCGGTACTGTATGATAAAAATTAATTTAGTGGGATTATTGTAGAGTACTTAGAATTTTTTTAGGAACTAAAAAGAAAGGAGACTTTCAATCATCAGATTATATTTACCAGAGGGAGACTTTGTACAAAAGTCAATTGATTCGGTACCTCTGTCCCATTCGTGTTTCAACCGTGAAACAGTTGTGTTTGCATGGCTGTGTTTCGGTTTGAAAAGTGGGATATGGCGTGAATTTACTGGGTACAGAGGAATAACACCTGAGTCCTTAGGAAAAAAAAATAGTTTCCATAAACAAATCTATTGTTTTTTTTTTTTTAATTTTATAATGATAAATGACACGGTCGGTGTTTTTAATTTTTTTATATACCACTGAAGTGGCAAACAAGCATACCGCCCACCTGATGGTAAGCGGTTACCGTAGCCTATGAACGCATGCACTACCATAGGTATTACGCGCGCGTTGCCGACCCTGAAGAAACCTCTTTACCCCCCTTTTGAATATTGACATTGAGCATTTTAATATCCATAATTTTGATATATTTAGGGAGGAAAGGGATTGTTAGTAATGCGGACTACCAGTCTCATTGCTATTGATATACTCTATCAGGTCGACCTCCACGTGGTGCTCCCTGGAAACCATTGTGCTGAATTCCAGGTGTATTCATCACGAGAGGCTAACAGACTTGCCTTGTCAGGGGGGAAAGAAATTGTTAGTAATGGAGTCAAATAGCCCCATTACTAGCAATGGAGCATTTGGAGGTCGACCTGACAGATACTCTGACAGGTTCTTCCTGGAAACCATCGTGGCTAATTCTAGTTGATATCGTCAGAATGGGCTAACTGACATGCTTTCATCCTAATCGGTCATCTACCACTGGTGCCCCGTCAGTGTAGGTATACACCTATATCGCAGGCGGGACTACAATACCATTATCATTCATTAAAAATAAAAATATATATATATATATATATATATATATATATATATATATATATATATATATATATATATATATATATATATATATATATATATAACAAAATTGTTTATAATTTTATAAGGACAATGTAGTGTATTGGTAAAATTGGTATGGAATCCCCACCCTAGTAGTTACTATCGATTTTAATACGATAGTCAGGGCGGCCTTAGCTTCGGAATAATTTATACAGCAGTCACCTGTCTGCAGAAGATACGTGATTATCATAAATAGGTACATGTGACCTTTAAAATTGTGATATTTTCAGTTAATTAACGAAATATCAATTCAATAATTTGTTTTGATTTGGTGAATGGAGAAGTTTTTTTTTTAATATTTATTTTTACTAGTAGTCGCTAAGTGGTCGAAATTCAACCATAAAATATAATAAATGAATTTATTATGGTTATGGTTGACATTCAGAAAGACTATAGACAAATAATATTAAAGACAAACAATATTAATCTATTCTCAATTTGACCACAGACTTGAACAGTAAACAAAAGAGTATATATGCGTGTGTGTGTCAAATGCAAGGTAGTGTGTGTAATGTTCCTTTATTGATTTAATGTATTTTTTATGCATTATTAAAAAAAATAGCATTCTGCACTCCTTCTATATGTGTGCCAAATTTAATACTCTTCCATCCTTCGTAAAAAGATGTACAAAGTTTTTGCTTCACGTATTAATATATAGTTTATTCACTTTTTTTTTATACCACTGAGGTGGCAAACAAACATACGGCCCACCTGATGGTAGGTGTTTACCGTAGCCTATAAACACCTGCAATACCAGAGGTATTACGCGTGCGTTGCTGACCCTGAAGAAACCTCTTTACCCCCCTTTTGAAGAACCCCATGCTGTAGTCTCTTGGGAAAACCTCGGCAGGGAGCTCATTCCACAACCTGAGTGGTCGTGGGAGAAAATATCTCTGAAACCGCGCAGTACGCGACCATTGAGGCTGTAGGACATGAGGATGAACTTCCTGTCGATGGCGAGCCGTACGATAGTAGAAAGTGGCTGTGGGCATCATATTGAACAATTCCTCTGAGCACAATCCATTTTTATATATACGAGTACATCATTATACACACTAACAATATACACTGAAATATGACATTTGAAATAAAACGCACAAAGGTGGGTCAGTAAAGAGGAAAATCCGAAAACTACAAACGTGTAGTTAAAAAAGAACTTTTTTGCAATTTTTTTCAATTTTAACTATTATTAATATCATTGTACAGATCCCTGGATGCATGAGACCAATTCGCACTTGGCCGGTTTCTATTAGTTTTAGAATGAGTGACTCACATGATTTGTCAGTGTATGCGTGAATAGGGATACGAAAGAACTAATTGGTAGTAACTACCTACTTAAATACTACACGAAAAATGCGCGCATGTTTTCTTTCTCAAAAAATAATAAATACAAACAAAGATGTTGCATGTATACTCAAACAATGTTTATGGAATAGAGTTGGTAAGTACACAAACGATTTACAGAAGAGTCAAGAAGAGTTTTATCTACGTAGATATACTGCCTAAATCCATTAACCGTCATATAACGTAGATGCTGCCGTACCTCATTTTACCCTAAATTAAGAAGGGGTATAGAATAAGGGGCGCGCAGAGAGCTTGTAATATTTTAAGAGATGAAGCATTTGGTGTTACTTCATATCTTTACCATTATCTTATATAATATTATTTATATTTACACTAAGCTATAAGGAATAATAACGCTAACATAATAATTTACAATTTATGTAATGTAATAAAATTGTATATATTTTAAAATTTTGCGTTGTAAAAACATTGGATTCTATTGAAAGGTTTTGGTAATATAATTGAAAAATAGACAATATACAAATTAATCTTTACTAGCTTTTACCCGCTATTTTGTACGCGTAATCTGAATCTGGTCACTGACTCTGATAGAAGTAACCAATAACCTTCTTGCCATATAGTACGTCTATACTTAATGTCATCAAATCATTCAGATGATAATCAATCATTCAATCAATTATCTTTATTCTTATGATACGTTACTTTATAGTTGTAATAATTACTATATAAAATAATATTAATTAAAAAAAAAATACAATTATTACAATTACAATACAAATCACATTAATACTATATTCAAAGCTATACATTTTTTTCATTTAGATTCATTTATTTTATTTTATAAAATGCTTTTGTACAGAGAGTCCTTTTTATATATATCTTAAATTTTCTTTCATATAAAGGGATGAGCAACAGCATTTCTCTTAAAATACCAGCAAAATCTGACTGCGATTGCCAACTCATCTGCTAGCAAAATACTTCAATAGGTGGAGACCTATATTCAGCAGTGGATAGTTAACTTGTTACCTTTTATTTTTAAATTAAAGGTGAAATAAATGAAAAATGAAGATTTTACATTTTTTTTGTACAACTTAGAATGGCAAACAAGCGGACGGCCCACCTGACAGAAAGTGGTAACCGTCGCTTATAGACATGAGCAGTACCATGGACATAACAGAGTATACTCTTTCGACCAATATACCCCCCATGCGTTGCCATTCCTGAGGACTCAGGTGTTATTCCTCTGTACCCTGTAAATTCACGCCATATCACACCCTTCAAACCAAAACACAGCCATGCAAACACAACTGCTTTATGGTTGAAACACGAATGGGACAGAGTTACCCAAGCAAACGACTTTTGTACAAAGTCTCCCTCTGGTTTACCTGTGCAGATAAACAAGTAAATGACAAAACGTGATCTGATTGATAAAAATTATGAAATTTTTAAACGAAATAAATACGAGTACATAAATCTCGCAATAAAGTTTTATATCAAATAAATTGTTTAATTACGTTATAAGTAAAGCTTTTAAAGGAAAAATTATATCTTTTTAACGCATTTAAATAAAAGCTTATTTTAAAATAAAGTTCTTTTTACTTTTCATTTTTTTTTTTTATGCAAATAATGTCATTAATACTGTTGACAAACCTTGTTCAAACAAAACAATTCCCCAATTTTTTAATCTCTAATGAGTAAGTTTAACCTAAACTCGCATGTGGAACACAAAATGTAGACACAGGTGTGTTTACAAATTGCTCGCCCGGGGGAGGCTGGGACGACGCGGTTCTTGCTCTTAGCCATTACTCGCTCCGTTGAGGAGGTAAGCTCGATAGTATTAGAACACGTAAGCCGGCTCGTGAGGGTATTAAGACGTTATTTTGAAATTTGAAAACAGAATTAGCTTCGAAAATGGAATCAATCTATGGCCTACTAGGAACGTTTTCATTCTGAACTATCATCCTTTCAATGAATGATGTTAGGTCAATACGCCCTGCGTATACCGATAGCATAGACGGGGTTTCCATTTGTTAATGTTTATTAAAAAAAAAATGTTTAGACTAAATTACTTAATATTTATTTGAGTCACTGTGATCTCAAAAAACATATTTTACTTTATTTATTTATTTTAAGGAACACCAACAGCATATTGCATTATAACACATATAACAAACATTAAATACAATACAATATTAATGCACATGCCTATTAAGGGTATTCACTGCATTTACTTTAACATAATTATACAATATGAAATGAAGTTACAATTATAAGGAATTAAATAAAACTAGACTACAAATATTTTAAAAGTTGCGTTATTAGTTACTTACTATTACTTCGATATTATAATTTATTCATAACGCATTTCATATTGGCCATTAACTGTCCACTGCAGAACATAAGCCTCTCTCATAAAGTGGTTTTGCCAGTAGTTGCGACGCTTAGTAAGCGGATTGACAATTGCAGTCAGGCTTTGGTGATATTTTTTTTATACAACTTAGAATGGCAAACAAGCTGACGGCCCACCTGATGGAAAGTGGTAACCGTCGCCTATAGACATGAGCAGTACTATGGACATAACAGAGTATTTTCGCCCATGATACCTGAGGACTCAAGTGTTATTCCTCTGTACCCAGTAAATTCACGCCATGTTTTATGCCATTCACGTGATTTTTTAAGAAGGATGCTGCTGCCTATCCACGACCATAAAGTTTCCTTGGTCGCTTCTTACGACACCTAAGGAACAATAAATTTATTAGAACATAAATTAGATATACTTAGTACTAATATTAGATAATTTATGTCTTAATTTTATGGTACTATGGTTTGTATTTGCATGGTTATGGAGGAGCGTGACCTTCTGATACAGGTGATAACACTTACTAGAAGGTCACAACAACGATCTTAGTATTGTAACAATTTTGTTACGAAATAATTTTTTTTTTTATTTTTTTTTTTAAATTTTTTTAATAAATTATAATTTATTTTAAGCTTTTAAAAGCAACGAAGTGATAGACTATATTTTAATAACGGGTAATCATATATGAAAATATGAAGGGGGACTATCTATTCCTTTGGGGTGTTATTTGATAGATCTTTTGAGTAGATAATGAATAATAATGGATTGCTGCATCGTTACGTTCTATATTTATATTTAGAACACACAAGTCGTTCAATCAATCACTAGTTAAATATATCTTTTCTTTACTTAAGGCATAGAGCAGGGGTCGCCGACTTGACTAGGCCCAAGATGTACTGTTTACTGACGAAACCCTGTGCGATCTACCAAATCACATACTTCTTGAAATCTCAAATGAAACAACATAGTTCAGTATACAATTATGTAGTATTGTAGTATGTTATGTTTTAATAAACGGAAAAATAAAAAAAAAAACTGAAAATTGTTCTTACAATTAGTAACTACTTATTTATATTAGTGTGAGCATTGCGTCTGTGCATCTTTCGCTAGATTAGCAAAATATTATATTTTTCAACTGGACTAATAGTCGCGATCGACCGGTCGATCATCCCTTGTATAGAGTGTTGCCTCGATCGAATATTATTCAAACAAATTCCAAACAAACGTACTCATTTTACTCTTTATAAGAATAGAATCTTCAATTATGGCAAAAACGATAATCATCATCATTATATCAGACGTTAACAGTTCAATACTGAACATAGGTATCGTAAGAGGCAACTAAAGGAACTTAATGGTTGAGAGATAGACAGCAACATCCCTTTTAAAACATTACCAAAGCCTAATTGCAATTGCCAACCTGTCTACCAAGTGTGGTAATTACTGGCAAATCTCTCCTTGTGGTGAAGACCTATCTTTAGCAGTGGACAGCTAATGGCTAATACAATAATAAGTAAAAATATTAAAATATACCAAAAAAAAAAAATAGAGATCAAACCAGCTCCTTTTGGAAGTTGTTTAAAACCTAATTAAAATTTAAGTAAATTTACATAAACAAGTTTAATATGTATAGGCAAAGACTCTCACCTTTGTCGAAGTCTCTTGAAAGGGGTTTCTTTAGCAGTATTGGTTCGTGATCTTCTCTCCTCCAAGTAATCTTTGGTGGAGGATGTCCTGTAGCTTTGCAAGTCAGTGTTGCATTCTCCAACTCTTGGACCGATACATCTGAAGATGTGTCATCGCTCACGATATCTGGGGGAACTGTAAGAGAGACGTTACTTTAAAAAAAGTCATAAAGCTTCCATTTATTTACATTATCTTCGTTTTGAACTTGAAGATGTGATTGCAGTAACAGTGAAATAAATTATGTATTTAAAAGTTTTTAGATAGCCAACTTCTAGAATAGTTTTAATAGAACTTATTTATTTATATTATTAATCTATAATAACAGAAAATTTATTTGCATAAGTTACAGATTGAAATCTGTGCATAAAGGTACAAAAGGCGGTCTTATCATTAAGGCAATTTCTTACAGGAAACCTTTGTTTAAAGGAAAATCGACCGATAACTTAAAAATGTCCAATAGTAGAAAAAAAAACAAAAATCTAACAACTGATTAAACATTTCAACTTTATACTAGTTTAAAGAGAGTGTTACTGTGATAACTTCAACAAAACTCCGTTACTTTGTCACTAAACTTTATTGAAATACACTAAAGTTACTATTTTTTGAAGCACCGAGTACAATCCTCAGTCGGAATTCAGGAAAGGGACTTTTCTAAATCAGATGGGCATTTTGGGTTATAGGGGTCGCAACCCAGAATACTTATCTACGCAGACGCTCATTTTCTGGTTTCAATTAAAGGGTATCTGACAATAAAGAGCAACCAATTGGTATAATTGCGTGACCTACATTCTTACTGTCCATGCCAATCAAGCCTTTAATGTTGCATCTGCAAGTTTTGGAAATCCAGATATGTGGTTAATATAAACATCTGTTTTTTAAAACATTTATTTGAAATATCAGATTTCGTAATTTTTTCTATGCAACTTCCAATGGCAAACAAGTTGTCGGCCCACCTGATGGAAATCAGTAACCGTCGCCTGTAAATGTGGACCATGAGTCCAATACCAAGGATATAACACAGTATACTGAATTACCCATGATATCTAACTTTCATGGAAGGAATGGTAACATTCCTGAGGTTTAAAGTTTTTATGCCTTTATACTCAATAATTTAATTGCCATCAAAAATGTATAATAATAAATGTTTCTATGTATAACACACTAACACTATATACTCGTGCACGTAATGTAAAAGGTCATTTTACTGTACATTTAACTAAATATTAAATGAAATTCTACGAAGTGTCGCCCTCTTTATAAAGAGACAAAATCGTAAACGCATTTACCAAGTAAAGACTACGGGGAAATGAGAACGCTTATACAATCTTCTGAAACTTCGCTGGAGGCCTCAGACCAAAGAGTTGCGCGATAAAAATAATGTGAACGACGCAGAAGCACGAATCGCCGCAAAGGGCCCGCCAATTTTTTAACGAGCAAACTTCTCTCACCAGACACCTACTACATCGAGAGGGGAAAAAGTAAATTTTCACAATATTGCTATGATTTATCGTCCCTTGCTCCGAACAACATGGAACTTTTTGCTCCTTCACCATTCCCGTTATACGTGGCAAGCTCCATTTGCATTCAAGGCTGGAACTTAAATTTCGTTATGGCCCTCTTTATTCTTGTTTCGTGTTTTACCTTTGTCGGTGATATTTGATTTTTGTTTGATTTATAGTATTAATTAAAATTGTTGAGCTAAAATTAAGGTGAAGACGAGCACGCGATGCGATGAGCGTTGTTCGAGGAATGATAAGACTCGTGCGAGCCGTGAGCTGTCAGACGGTAACACACGCATTTAGTAACGCGCAATTACGGCTTCGTTTATTTTAGGCTGTAGTTAATAAGGGTAGTTAGTGGTATTGTTATTTTTACATTTATCATGATATTCTATTTCATTCTGGTTTATTAATTAATACAGTTGGATACTGCGATGTATTGATGACGTTATTAACGTATAACGGCTTAATAATATCATGTACATCTACATTGCCATATGGCCCCGATATAGAATGGGTCAATTCCTTTCCTGTGGATATCGTATAAGACGACTATAGGAAGTTACTGGTCGGTGGATAGACAGCAACGTCCTCCTTAAAACATCATCAAAGACTAATGGTGGTTGTTAACCCGCCTGCCAAGCGTGGTAACTATTGGCAAAACGTCAGTAGGGGAGGCTTATGTTCAGCAATGGACAGTTAACGGCTGATATGATAATGATGATGATGAAACCTAGTTTAATAAATAATTATTAGTAGGTGGAGAGTACATACATAAGCACTACTGTTAAGATACTCTACTCTGTATATGTACTTTCAAATAATAAATTTCTTGGCAACTGCAATATTTATTTAATCCTGTGGAATCTTCTAGTTCTCTTTTCTAGTAAATTGTTTCTAGGAATCTCTGGAGCCCTATTTGTATATATATTACACATACTTTCTTATTTAACAAAGTAAATGATGGGAATAGTTTTTATAAAATTAAATTAGAGCTTATGTTACTCGCTACTTCTTATAAGTTTAATGTAGCTTCCCTAACAATTGGTGCCCCGCCAGTGTATACCGATAGCGCGGGCGAGGATACCATTCCATTATCACCCATTAAAAAAAATATTATCCATTAAAAAAAAAACTCACTTGAACGTTTATAATATTAGTAAGAATGTTTAGATATGTTATTTAATGTTTTGCTATGAATGTCACGTTGCAGTACGCTGTTGGTGTTTCTATAAATAAATAAATACATGATTAAACCCCTTACCCTAAGCTTGTTTTGAGTAGATTGCTTTCGGCCCTCCTTATCGTACTTATACAAGTGTATCTATTATTTATGTTAAGTTACTTACTGACTTTTCATCCGTTACTTTGTATGTGTGAATTTTAGAAATAAGAAATCTAGTAAAGTAGAAATCTAATAGTAATATCAAGATAAAACAAACTCGTGATTACCGTATCCAATTTGGTGAAGTAGTTTTTGTGTGATACCAGATGAAACATACGGACAGAGACAAAATTGGCATTTAGCCAAAACAAATATTTTTTATTACATTAATTTAGACTCTTCGTATTATTTTTTTTTATATGTATCTCCCATGGACAATAATAAACGTCACCTAGTGACCTGATGAACATAAGTCTTCTCCATAAGAGAAGTGTTTTGCCACGCTTGACAGGCTGATTGGCAACCGCTGTTAGGTTAGCCTATGAAATTTTAAGAGGGACACTTTTGTCCATTTCTCGACCATTAATCAATTTATTAATTAATTAGTTCTCTCTTATAATACCACGGAAAAGAAAAGTGTGGCCTATTCTATGGCGGAACCACACGGCTATGTATTTATTAGTATTATTATAAATAAAGTATACTCATTTATAATAATTCTCGCTAGGTACGATTTCGATTGATTTTATCTCATGTGATAGTAAGTGATGAAAAGGTCTAAGATAGAACACGTTTAAAATAGGTAAACGTACGTTAATAATACTTAATACTTATTTGATTCAAATTCATGATATTGAAGGATCGATATTCGATATTGGATAATCGATACCTAATATACTTGGTATTGGGCCAATATATGCTTAGATATTGCAACCACAATATATAACTGCAAATGTATCTTTAAAAAATGTATCTCATGGATCCCATGAATGAAATAAACATAAAAATATTTGGATGTTTTTTACTAAATTACTAACTACTACTAAAAACTACTAGACAGATTTGATATTAAATTCAAATAGGTTATAGTTATTATCTCACATAACTTATAGATTACACGATATATGAATTTAACCTTAAAAAAATATAATCATAAATATAAAGAACTATATAATATAAAAAAAACATGTTCACTTTATTTAGATCGTGTCAACCACTTATCAAAATGTTGAGGATCTATCAACGTTTGATCAATGATCCATGGATCTTTATATATTTTAATATAAAACCGTTTCCAAATACGCGTCAATCAATCATGGCGGATTTAACTGTATGGACGAAGAAATTAAGCGTTTATTGACACTTCAACAGAGGCCGTCACTTTGACGATAATTTGTATCGAAAAATACCTGTTTTCGATGTAAAAAAGCATCTAATATTTATATAGTTTGTATTTTAATGAAGTTTTGATACAGTATTTAATAGACAGATAGATACTCTTTATTGTTAACTCCAAAAAATTACAATAGTAAACTTATTATAAATATAAATAATTACAAGAAATAATCACAATGAAAAAACAATGAGTGACCTTATCGCTAAAAGCAATCTCTTCCAGGCAACCTTTGGACGGAGAGGAGTAATTATAAACAGTTTTATCGCAGGCACGATGAAAATTCTGTTTAATGTATTTTATTTGGGATACTGAAATTGAGTTTTTCTTTAATATTTATATTTGCATTGTAAACTATATTCAGTATATATATATATATTTATTTTTTATACAACATACATTGGCGCCGTTGCCTATAAACATGAGCAGTACCATGGACATAACAGAGTAGACTCTTTCGCCCATGATACCCCCTATGCGTTGCCATTCCTGAGGACTCAGTATATATTCATCAACATATATCATCATGAACATCTGAATCTGCTGAACATAGGATTCCCCTATAAACTGTCATAATGAACGGTCCTAAGCCACCTGTGTTCATTGACTTCCTGCAATGCATTTGAAACCGTGACTCCATCTAATGTGTGTTGGTTATATAATAAGTGGGGTGGTTGTCCTACACTGTGTTTGCTCATACTGAATTGCCATTCAAAAGTCTGTCTTCCATTCAACTTCATTCAATGTAATGTGCCTTCCAAAAGGTAATATCATTATAACTTTTTTAGTATATCCACAAAAAAAAAAAATGACTGCAAATGTGAATATCAAAGTCTACAAGTAAATTTTACTTCATAACAAAAAGTTTTTATCTGTGCAAAAAAATACAACAGCTTTAATCATTTTTAAATTAATATGGAACTAACCTATCGATTTTTCTAAAACTTCATGTGAAATTAATGAATTCCAAAAATGATTACTAAAAATAGTTTACATATGGCGTAACATTGTTACAAAAAAAAAATTGTACGAATTAAGAACCTTTTCCGTCTAGAAATAGGTTGAAACTCAACATTAA